ACCACTACTTTGTATCCTTTTCTCTCTCCCTCTCCTCCAACACTACTCACTCTGCCCCTACACAGATGGTAATGCGCCGTCGCAACCTTCGCTCTCTCTCTCCCGCTACTCTCTCCTCTTCCATCCTATCATCTCTTCCCTCTGCTCAATCCTTCTCCCTCCAATCTCCTGATTCTGCCTCCTCAACCCTCCTCTCCTCCCTTTCTGCATCCTTTGACTCTCTATGTCCCCTATCCTCCCGGCCGGCTCGGTCCTCCCCTCCAGCTCCTTGGCTTGATGACTCATTGCGAGCTCACAGAACAGAGCTCCGGGCAGCTGAGCGGAAATGGAAGAAAACTAGACTCCCTGCAGATCTGGCATCTTTTCACTCCCTCCTCTCTACATTTTCTTCATCTGTTTCTGCTGCTAAGGCCACTTTCTACCACTCTAAATTCCAAGCATCCGCCTCTAACCCTAGGAAGCTCTTTGCCACATTCTCCTCCCTGCTGAATCCCCCCCCCCCCCTCCCTCTCTGTGGATGACTTCGTCAACCATTTTGAAAAGAAGGTTGACGACATCCGATCCTCGATTGTTAAGTCAAATGACACTGCTGGTCCTGCTCACACTGCCCTACCCTATGCTTGGACTTCTTTCTCCCCTCTCTCTCCAGATAAAATCTTGCGACTTGTGACGGCAGGCCGCCCAACAACCTGCCCGCTTGACCCTATCCCCTCCTCTCTTCTCCAGGCCATCTCCGGTGACCTTCTCCCTTACCTCACCTCGCTGATCAACTCATCCTTGACCGCTGGCTATGTCCCTTCCGTCTTCAAGAGAGCGAGAGTTGCACCCCTTCTCAAAAAACCAACACTCGATCCCTCTGATGTCAACAACTACAGACCAGTATCCCTTCTTTCTTTTCTCTCCAAAACTATTGAGCGTGCCGTCTTTAGCCAACTCTCTTGCTATCTCTCTCAGAATGACCTTCTTGATCCAAACCAGTCAGGTTTCAAGACTGGTCATTCAACTGAGACTGCTCTTATCTGTGTCACAGAGGCTCTCCGCACTGCTAAAGCTAACTCTCTCTCCTCTGCTCTTGTCCTTCTAGACCTGTCTGCTGCCTTTGATACTGTGAACCATCAGATCCTCCTCTCCACCCTCTCCGAGCTGGGTATCTCCGGCGCGGCTCACTCTTGGATTGCATCCTACCTGACCGGTCGCTCCTACCAAGTGGCGTGGCGAGAAGCTGTCTCCGCACCACGTGCTCTCACAACTGGTGTCCCCCAGGGCTCAGTTCTAGGCCCTCTCCCATTCTTGCTATACACCAAGTCACTTGGCTCTGTCATATCCTCACATGGCCTCTCCTATCATTGCTACGCTGACGACACACAACTAATCTTCTCCTTTCCCCCTTCTGATAACCAGGTGGCGAATCGCATCTCTGCATGTCTGGCAGACATATCAGTATGGATGACGGATCACCACCTCAAGCTGAACCTCGGCAAGACGGAGCTGCTCTTCCTCCCGGGGAAGGACTGCCCGTTCCATGATCTCGCCATCACGGTTGACAACTCCGTTGTGTCCTCCTCCCAGAGTGCGAAGAGCCTTGGCGTGACCCTGGACAACACCCTGCCCTTCTCCGCTAACATCAAGGCAGTGACCCGATCCTGTAGGTTCATGCTCTACAACATTCTGAGAGTACGACCCTGCCTTACACAGGAAGCGGCACAGGTCCTAATCCAGGCACTTGTCATCTCCCGTCTGGATTACTGCAACTCGCTGTTGGCTGGGCTCCCTGCCTGTGCCATTAAACCCCTACAACTCATCCAGAATGCCGCAGCCCGTCTGGTGTTCAACCTTCCCAAGTTCTCTCACGTCACCCCCGCTCCTCCGCACACTCCACTGGCTTCCAGTTGAAGCTTGCATCTGCTACAAGACCATGGTGCTTGCCTACGGAGCTGTGAGGGGAACGGCACCTCCGTACCTTCAGGCTCTGATCAGTCCCTACACCCAAACGAGGGCACTGCGTTCATCCACCTCTGGCCTGCTGGCTCCCCTATCTCTGCGGAAGCATAGTTCCCGCTCAGCCCAGTCAAAACTGTTCGCTGCTCTGGCACCCCAATGGTGGAACAAGCTCCCTCACGACGCCAGGACAGCGGAGTCACTCACCACCTTCCGGAGACATTTGAAACCCCACCTCTTTAAGGAATACCTGGGATAGGATAAAGTAATCCTTCTACCCCCCCCCCCCCCCCCCCCCCCCCCCCCCCAAAAAAAAATAAATAAAGTGGTTATCCCACTGGCTATAAGGTGAATGCACCTATTTGTAAGTCGCTCTGGATAAGAGCGTCTGCTAAATGACGTAAATGTAAATGTTAAACGATTGGCTAATATGTGCAGAGTCTCAAAGCCAAGCTTTGGCACGCACATCCATACTCTCACATCATCTCTCAGAGTTAATGATAATAATGTATTTGTATTTAACTTGTATAGCGCTTTTCATTACAGAAAATAATGTGCATAAAAAGCAAAAAACGAACAAACAAGTTTGAGTTGGGACGAACATTGAACTTGGAAAATGGTTATCTGATCCTTTCTCAGTGTGTGCACTTCTTGGGCCTGACACTGGACACTCAAATCATGCGTGCAACACTCTCTCCAGAAAGAGTGGTATCGTTGACAAATTGTCTTCCAACATTCAAACTGAGAAAACAGGTGACAGCGCTAGAGAGTCAGAGGCCCCTAGGCCTCCTAGCTGCTGCCGTCCATGTTGTACCATTGGGGTTGCTCCACATGCGGCCAATAAAGCGCTGGTACAACAGACACAATCTATGTCCCAGAAGGGACAAACACAAAAATCAGACAATTTCAATGAGTTGCTGGGAGAGCAATACAATGGTGGCGCCTAGCACTTCAAACTCCCAGTGGAGTTCTCCTAGACTTTGACCACAGACGCCTCCCTACAGGGATGGGTAGCAGTCTTGAACCAGTCAGGGTCCATGGTGTATGGTCAGCACAATGGACAACAGCTCACATCAACGTACTGGAGCTCAAGGCGGTTCATTTCCTCCCAGTACAGAGAGGACAACATATACTGATACGGACAGACAACAAAACCGTGGTTGTACACATCAACCGCCAGGGCGCACTGAGGTCAATGACACTGCACCAGGTAGCAAGGGAGCTACTGTTTGGGCAAACAGACTGTTATGATGAGTTTCTAGGGTATCAAGTAATTAAGAATGTAAGAATATACTTTGACACTTTTGATGGGGAGTTCATTTAATATTCAACATGGTACCATGGTTCGTTATAACAGAAGAAGGACAAAGCCCTGCCTCTACCATCTCCGAACTCCAGAACAAAGAGCCACTCTCTCTATATATACACTCTGTTACAAGTTTCTTCACGAACATCTGTTACCCCTCAGCGGGCATTACCTTCTTTGATGTTATTACCCTTTACCCCAAGTCATATATCCTGTCCATCAATTATTCTAAGATAAACCTCAGTAATCTCATTTGACATAAGGAATGCAGACTCTGTGGCACCAAGTCACTTATCTACCAACTCTCCCCTGGGTCACACAACACTATGAAATGACATCATTACACAGACACATTACGTCCCTCAGAGCAATACACCTGCCGGGGGTGGAGAATCAGGCAGCAGACCTTCTGTCAAGAGGAGGCCTTCTTCCTTCAGGGCGTGATTCAGAATGGCCATCACCGATTTGTTCGCATCGCAAGACTCAATTCATTGTCCAATGAGGGTCTCCATAAAGGGTCTAGCAGGCCCACTTGGGTTCGACTCCCTATCAGACAGATGGCCAAGGGCCCTGCTGAATGCATTTCCACAAATTCCACAAATTCCCTTGTGACCTCAGGTCTTGAGGAAGATCAGACTTGAGAGAGTGTCAGTTCTACTTGTTTCTCCGCATTGGCCACAGCATCACTGGTTTTCACACCTTGTACAGCTGACAACCTCCCAACCATGGGAACTCCATCTTCGAGTGGACCTCCTGTCATAAGTGAACGGCAAACTTTGGCACCCCAAACCCAGCACACTGAATTTGTGGGTGTGGCCCCTGAACGTGACCGCCTTGTAGCGGCAGGGTTGCCCTCCTTGGTAATTGATACAATTCAGTCAGCCAGGGCATCCTCTGCACGAATGCTGTAGTGGTGTGTCAACCATGCAGAATCGCCATCTTCCTGCTCAATTTCTGTCGTTTTGATTTTCCTCCAGGAGCTTATGGCTGCAGGGAAGTCCCCATCTACATTGAAAGTGTATATGGCAGCCATCTCTATGGGTCATGACCAGATTGCAGGTGCATCACCAGGGGCACACCCTCTAGTATCGTAATTCATGAAAGGTGCAGGCTACGGCCCTCCAAGGCTCCTTCAGTACCCTCATGGGTGTTAGATGTTTCCCTACGATCACTTTTTAGTCCATCAATTGAGCCACTGTCTTCACTTGAGCTATGTGAGCTCTCAGTCAAGACTGCCTTTCTCTTGGCTATGTTTCAGCCAAGCGTGTTGGAGAATTACATGCGCTTTCTAACCATCCTTCATGCCTCACTTTAGCAGAAGATGGATCTAAGGCAGTGCTTCGGCCAAATCCAGCATTCTTACCTAAAGTGCTTTCATCATCACATACTAACCAGCCCTTATTCATAGTGGCATTTCATCGGCCTCCCCATTCCTCACAGGAGAGTCGTGAGTTGCATACACTTTGCCCGGTTAGGGCATTGAGGGCCTATCTTGCTTGCTTAATCAAACAGAACAGCTTTGTGTGTGTTATAGGGAAAACACCAAAGGTTGCACTGTCTTGAAGCAGAGACTAGCACATTGGAATACCAATGCAGTGTCAAAATCATACGCTGCAGCAGACGGCGTGGTAGCACACTCCACCAGGGTTATGACCACTTCATGGGCACGTTTAGAAGGCCCTCCCTGGACTCTATCTGTGCTGCTGCAAGTTGGGTAAAACCCATTACTTTCATGAGGTAGTACAGACTCAATGTTATGTCCACACCATCAGTGCGGACTGTGGTTCTGGACACGGCACGCTCTCTCGACCCAGGTAAGCGAGCGTACCGTGAACCTTGTTCATATTTTACTTACTTATCAACCATCAGTGAGATGGACGTTCTATACAGAGGCCTTACATCCGATTGAAGCCTCATGTTTTAAGTTATAGCTTTTAGCTTGCTTGTGTATACGGTTGTATTCCACAGTTGAAATTATGTTACCCTGTTGGGTAATTATATTCTGTTGCATCCTGTGGTGGATACAAGGACGTCCCAGGGACTCATCTGGACTAAGTTCGATGGAGAGTTATCTCACTCTGTTGTCTGAAAGACTTCTTTGGTACAGTCTCTCCCATAGGTCGTTTGGCGAACCCTTTACAAAAACGAAAGAGAACGTTGGGTTAGGGATGTAACCTTGGTTGTCGTTCCTCCACCTCCGTGGGGTTCGAGTGAAGTAATAGAGAGTATGTCATGCCACACTGCCTTTTATAGTGACAAGTCACGTGGGTAAAGTAAGGGTGTGGCGTAACTGTAAACATCTTTGATATTAAGCATTTCAGTCACATCGTGTGAAGGGGAAGGAGTTCCCACAGGTCGTTTGGCGACCCGTTACTCTACTCAGAGAATCAAGGTTACATCCGTAACCCAACGTTTTCTTTTCAATACATTTTTCTTGAACGAGCTCGGAGCAGTGGGGTTTTTCAGGAAAATAAAATGCAGCGGGTCCGTGGGGGCTCACACGACAGCGGCGGTACCTCACGTGCCCTGTGGTTAACAAGCTTGCCTGAATGTGGCCGCGTGGCCCCAGAGCTGCGCACACTCAAATGTATTTATTTACATTGGCTGGAAAAATGCAAACTGTGTGTGAGTAGGCTTTTACAAGAACAGAAGACAGAACACACATACATTCAGAGTAGGCTAGCCTTGACCTAGTCTATGGAGCCATGAAAGAGAGATGACTGAGAATAGTCTGAAGAAGGTTAGAAATCTTGCAGAACGTTTTGTGTAGGTAGGCCTAAGACATGTTTTATGTAACTTTGGGTCCATGTGTCCCTCCCTTACTTAGCTTCGGGACCGCAACTGGTCTGATGGTGATGTGGATATACTCGGAATACATATCCCAAAGGAAATAAATGATCTCACTTCAATAAATTATAACAGAAAGTTAGCAAAAATAGATAAGATCTTACTACCGTGGAAAGGTGGGTGACTGTCAATTTGTGGAAAAATCACCCAGATTAACTCTTTAGTATTATCCCAGTTTACCTATTTGCTTATGGTCTTGCCTACGCCTAGCGAACAGTTTTTTAAATTATATGAGAAAAAAATATTCCATTTTATTTGGAACGGCAAGCCAGACAAAATTAAACGGGCCTATTTATATAATGAATATGAATTCGGAGGACAGAAATTATTAAATATTAAAGCATTAGACCTATCACTAAAAGCTTCAGTCATACAAAAGTTATACTTAAATCTGAACTGGTTCTCTAGCAAATTAGTAAGATTGTCTCACCCAATGTTCAAGAATGGCCTTTTTCCCTTTATTCAGATTACAACCACTCACTTTCAGTTATTTGAAAAGGAAATCATCTCCCAGATATCACTATTTCTAAAACAAGCCATAGAAAGTTGGTTGCAATTTCAATTTAATCCTCCAGAAACGACAGAACAAATAATGCAACAAATATTGTGGTTAAACTCAAATATACTAATTGACAAAATGTTTAAAAAAGGTATAATCTTTGTAAATGATATTATCGGTAGGACTGGTGGAGTTATGTCGCACATGCAGCTAACAAAAACATATGGAAATGTCTGCTCTACCCAAAATTACAACCAAATAATTGCAGCCTTACCGCAAAAATGGAAGAGGAAAGTGGAAGGAGGAGAAAGTAAGGAACTTGTTTGTCGGCCTTGCATTAAAGAACATAATTGGTTAAGGAAAACTGTGATAAATAAAAAAGTATATCAGTTTCATTTAAGGACCAAAGGATTGACAGCCGTCCCATATAGATTGCAAAATAGTTGGGAAGAGATTTTTGACGTACCGATCCCATGGCATAGTGTTTATGAACTGATACACAAAACGACACCGGATTCAACATTTAGAATCTTTCAATTTAAATTATTATATAACATTCTTGCTACCAATAGAATGTTATTTATATGGGGGATACAATCTTCCCAGCTCTGCAGATTTTGCTGCGAAGAGACAGAATCATTAGATCATTTGTTTTGGTACTGTCCATTTGTAGCTTGTATTTGGACACAGGTCCAGGAATAGCTAAAGGATTGCAATATTTACCTGGAGCTAACCCTGCAGATAGCACTACTGGGTGATCTGAAAAGTCATAGTCAATCGATCAATAACATAATAATACTATTAGCAAAAATGTTTATCTTCAATTCACAATCTGTAGAAACAATGAGAATAGAAAGGTTCAGAACTTTTGTAAGACATCACAGTACAGTTGAAATATATATGGCAAATAGAAATCATATATGGATGGTGTTAAAAGATAGATGGGAGATGTTGAATGGAATTGAAGGATGGGACCAGTGGCGGCTCCTGAAAAAATTCTCAGGGGGGGCAATTTTTCTGATGATTTAGGTGACCTACACACATTTTAAAAAAGATATGTCCAGCAACAACATGAAGACAGGGGCAGCATATAAGTCAATACCAGAAGCATTTATTGACTGATCTCAAAAGTGTTGGCTTACCAGGGTTGGTGGAGCCCTCAGTTTCATCTTTGCCTCGCAAAGCTAACTCAAACACTCCGCAAAACTTCACACACTGGATTAGCCGGCTGAGGATGTGGCGGTTCTTGCTAACCTCATCGTTGTGGCGGCGGACAGCTAGCCTGTATCCCTCATCCAGTTGAGTGGCAATGTTCACTCTCCCCAAAGCAGACAATCTCAAACAGCTATCCATGTGGGTCTTTGACAGCTCATGTTTCTTAATCTTTCCTGAAAGATGGTGCATGTCCGTTACACACCAGTCGCTGTCCAAGCGGTGCTGTCTGCCGTGCCGCCTTCAGGGTGAAAGAGTAAGCAGGGGGTAGCAGAAGACTGCATTAGCTACATCGCAGCCTGCTAGCCAGGTTTTTCGTTCGTACCAATTTTTGGAAAATCCTCGGGTGTAGGACTTTCCCCCTTTAGTAGAAACCTGTTGAATTATTAAATTTGGTCTGGGAGGTCCTAATTGTTTCGTTGCCAATTTATCTTGATTTGTTCGCCGACAAAAAGTAACTTATTTCAAAGAGACAATCGAGTTGCACTGAACGCTATAGCCATCTTGACAGTAGTACGTGAATTGATTGACGCTGCTACCCGCTCTTTTCTTAGTTACGTTCATGGTTATGTTACGTATGACGAAAGCGCGTAAGTGCAAGCCCTCAGAAACCCATAGAGATTGTATTGAAAGCTCTGATATTTGAAAAAAATAGATTTTACATGGGAGTCTATGAGAGACTTCTGGGGCGATTTTCAACCGGACTGAAATCGCCCCAAAAGGGGGGGGGGGCCATTTGAAGCACGACTTTAGCCTGATTGGACATTTAGTGGCAGATCAGACGTCTAGATTAGAACACTGATAACTACTGTTGCCGTGATATAATTGATTAGAAAAAAAATCCCTTCCTTTTCCCGTTTGGCAGTGCGTCGCCCATATCACCCTAATGAACACACCGCCCCTGGATGGGACTAATAACAGCTAACAACAAACAATAACAAGATAACTAATAATGTAAGCATACTGTGTCCATAATAAGTGTATGGGTTGTAGGTTGGGAGCTTTTGTGAAGGAGCACAGTTAGAAAGATATGGCATATAGAAGCAAACCGGATGGACATCATGAAAATGATCGGAGAGGTTGAGAGTAGAAGAAGTTCAGGAGAAAGAACAAACAAGATGTAATTATTGTAAAATTGACTGTGTCCATAAAATGTAGATAGTGGGTATGGGCTGGAAGTAAAGGCCTAGGCATTGTTGTTCACTAGTTTACTCCAAGTGGGGAAAGGGTGGCGGGGTTGGAAAGTAATAAAGGGGAATATATATATATTTTTAAAGGATATGTATGTATGTATGTAAGTATGTATGTATGTATGTATGTATGTATGTATGTATGTATGTATGTATGTATATATGTATGTATGTATGTGGGTGTGTATGTGTGTGTGTATGTGTGTATATGTATATGTATATGTGTATGTATGTGTGTATGTGTATGTGTATATATATATATATATATATATATATATATGTATATGTATGTATGTGTGTATATATGCATATATATATATATATATATATATATATATATATATATATAAACATATATACATATATACACACATATACATATATACACATATATATATATTTATATATATATATATATATATATATACAGTGGGGGAAAAAAGTATTTAGTCAGCCACCAATTGTGCAAGTTCTCCCACTTAAAAAGATGAGAGAGGCCTGTAATTTTCATCATAGGTACACGTCAACTATGACAGACAAAATGAGGGAAAAAAATCCAGAAAATCACATTGTAGGATTTTTTATGAATTTATTTGCAAATTATGGTGGAAAATAAGTATTTGGTCACCTACAAACAAGCAAGATTTCTGGCTCTCACAGACCTGTAACTTCTCCTTTAAGAGGCTCCTCTGTCCTCCACTCGTTACCTGTATTAATGGCACCTGTTTGAACTTGTTATCAGTATAAAAGACACCTGTCCACAACCTCAAACAGTCACACTCCAAACTCCACTATGGCCAAGACCAAAGAGCTGTCAAAGGACACCAGAAACAAAATTGTAGACCTGCACCAGGCTGGGAAGACTGAATCTGCAATAGGTAAGCAGCTTGGTTTGAAGAAATCAACTGTGGGAGCAATTATTAGGAAATGGAAGACATCCAAGACCACTGATAATCTCCCTCGATCTGGGGCTCCACGCAAGATCTCACCCCGTGGGGTCAAAATGATCACAAGAACGGTGAGCAAAAATCCCAGAACCACACGGGGGGACCTAGTGAATGACCTGCAGAGAGCTGGGACCAAAGTAACAAAGCCTACCATCAGTAACACACTACGCCGCCAGGGAATCAAATCCTGCAGTGCCAGACGTGTCCCCCTGCTTAAGCCAGTACATGTCCAGGCCCATCTGAAGTTTGCTAGAGTGCATTTGGATGATCCAGAAGAGGATTGGGAGAATGTCATATGGTCAGATGAAACCTTTTTGGTAAAAACTCAACTCGTCGTGTTTGGAGGACAAAGAATGCTGAGTTGCATCCAAATAACACCATACCTACTGTGAAGCATGGGGGTGGAAACATCATGCTTTGGGGCTGTTTTTCTGTAAAGGGACCAGGACGACTGATCCGTGTAAAGGAAAGAATGAATGGGGCCATGTATCGTAAGATTTTGAGTGAAAACCTCCTTCCATCAGCAAGGGCATTGAAGATGAAACGTGGCTGGGTCTTTCAGCATGACAATGATCCCAAACACACTGCCCGGGCAACAAAGGAGTGGCTTCGTAAGAAGCATTTCAAGGTTCTGGAGTGGCCTAGCCAGTCTCCAGATCTCAACCCCATAGAAAATCTTTGGAGTGAGTTGAAAGTCTGTGTTGCCCAGCGACAGCCCCAAAACATCACTGCTCTAGAGGAGATCTGCATGGAGGAATGGGCCAAAATACCAGCAACAGTGTGTGAAAACCTTGTGAAGACTTACAGAAAACGTTTGACCTGTGTCATTGCCAACAAAGGGTATATAACAAAGTATTGAGAAACGTTTGTTATTGACCAAATACTTATTTTCCACCATAATTTGCAAATAAATTCATTAAAAATCCTACAATGTGATTTTCTGGATTTTTTTTTCTCATTTTGTCTGTCATAGTTGACATGTACCTATGATGAAAATGACAGACCTCTCTCATCTTTTTAAGTGGGAGAACTTGCACAATTGGTGGCTGACTAAATACTTTTTTTCCCCACTGTATATATATATATACACATACATACACATATACATATACACACATTCACACACACATACACACCCACATACATACATACATACATACATATCCTTTAAAAATATATATATATTCCCCTTTATTACTTTCCAACCCCGCCACCCTTTCCCCACTTGGAGTAAACTAGTGAACAACAATGCCTATATATATATTTAAAAAACATGGGGGTTGGAAGTGATGCAGACAATTACATTGATGGAAGTTAACAATCTATCTGCTATATTTGTATCAGCCCAATGTCCCAACAGAATCCCTTAGTTGCGGTCCAGAAGCTATCTCTTGCCCAAACATGAGACCTTGTAGTCGTTCGAGAGATAAGTCATGCTGAATTTACTGGCTAGACCTACCTGTAGCATACTATCCCATGTCGGAAGGCTCTAGCCCTAGGCTATCCACAATCGGTGGACGGTTCCGAGCAGTGCCCAAGAAAAATGTAGGCCTATTGGTCTAAATCCAGTTTTCAGATACTACCTCCCTCTCTCTAAATCAAAATCAAACATGGTTGCCAATGTTGTGTTCTCGCCTTGCACGCACACCCGTCTGTGGTTGACACCTGTCTTTCATTAGCTAACGAGCCCAGCAAAGAGAACGCACGCAGAGTGCTGCCACAGACAGGACCTAAAAGGAGCGTGGGCCCACGATGCGAAAACACAACATAGGCATCCATGTTTTATTTAGATTAAAATTGGTACATTTTGATGTAATACTTTTTTGTGTGCTGCTCGGTAATGTAGACCTAAATGATGATTAATATTTACCTAAGGAAATACATGAGTATCACTGTTGTTATATGTACAGTAGGCCTACAATAGAGTATGTGACTCTGACTGCGCAACTATAAGCCTAACAAATGTAACAATGTATTTGAGTGCTCATTGTGCAAATATATGTATGTTTTCGATAAACATTTGGAAAATCCTAATAGGGGTACCATTGACTTGCATTGAGGAGGGGTTTTATCCCAAGATACCCTAAGGATTCTTTCAATCCTCAATAAGCTTTTGTGGACTGAAATGTAATGACTGAAATGAAAAGCTGTTATTGTTCGTTCTGAACCTCATACAGTATATATATAATCTCATATAATCGCATATCGTATAGTATCATCCGATTCATCCCACACATTCTAAGTCACCTTGGGCCCAGCATTGTCCAGAATATTATGTCGGAAAACGAATTGATCATGAATCACATCTCCCTGTAAAGCAACTACAATTTAAGGATGAAGAATTACAGATGGTTTTGATTACATGGAAGGAGAAGCCAGAAGGTAACAGACTAAAAATGTGGTAGGAAAAATCACAGTACACACAAGCACACACACACTCACACTCACACACACAAGCTTCTCAGAAGTTTATTTGAGGAGTAGCCCGTGTAGTTTTGTGCTATGTGTAGAGTTTTGAGGTGCCATAAGGAATGTTGTTAGTAAGCCATGATAATTCCGCAGTTAGAAGCCACCGGACCTGTCACTCTCAGGAAATGTATCTGATTGATCTGTTCCTTCTGTGTCAGGGATTTGGACAGACTTACTTTTCATTTTCTGTTTTGATAGCAGCAGATGTCAGAATCCTTAAGCTAGGCCACTACCTAATTCACTCCCAAGGGGGCTTCATGAGCTACGGTAGGCCCTTTTCTTACACTCTTCTGATTGGCATATGTATAATTCTCTGATCAGCTTGCTGAGAATGCTCTCCGCTAGACATACGCAGACCTACATTAATCTTTGACATAGACACAGAGACCGATGTTTATCCTGATGTATGGTGTCACCTCATAATTTGGACAAAACTATCTCCAATAAAATGGACTTCCTCTAGTCTAGACTTCGACTACCCTGGCTACGTGTGTAAAAAGTTCACAGCATAATGAGCATATATTTCCTTCTCTCACATTGATGCTTAACACTTCTCACATAGCCAATGTGGTATGTAGGACGCTCGAGGGTAATGACGAAGGTACAAAATAAGTAATTCAACATTACTCTTTGTGTATACCTGAATATAAAAATGTTCTCACTTTGGAACAGGGCCTCCTAAAATCCCTGTGAACCTAGAACGCTGTGGTATTTTATAACCAACATAACTCAGGTCAAGTACATTTTATTCTTTCTAATTTAATTGCTTCTGTCAAAAACACTGTTGGACATCTTTGCAAAGTCTCAGGGATGGTGCAGAATGTCTGTCCTCTGAGAGGTTTCTCACTCCTGCCGTCGGCATCATCAGTATCAGTAGTGACATCTGCAAGAGATAAGTCATACAGATGTAGGATCTTAATTTGAGCCAGTTTGCTACAACAGGAAAATAATCCTATAGCAACAGGAAATGTGAATTATTATGTGGATTATAATTAATAGACATTTTGGTAGGGGTTGATACATTTTTCATAAGGGAAATCAAGTCTGAAATTTCAAAGTGGAAATGACAAACTTCAGAAGCCTTTTCCAGTAGAGCAGGAAAGTGAGACAGATGGAGCAGCTGAGGGGGAGGTAGAGGCTGAGAGTGAGACACCAACAGAGGAGCCATGTGGGTCCACAAGCAGTGGACAAATCAGATATCAGCAACCCCGGGAGGACCCCGGTGCAGCCAGGGATGAACAGGAACATGTCCTTTCTAGCTCAGCTGGTAGAGCATGGCGCTTGTAACGCCAAGGTAGTGGGTTCGATCCCCGGGACCACCCATACACAAAAAATGTATACACGCATGACTGTAAGTCGCTTTGGATAAAAGCGTCTGCTAAATGGCATATTATTATTATTATTATTATTTTCTCCTGCAACAGGGTGATCAAATTAAGATCCTACTTCTGTACATACATAAATAACCAGTCATTATTGTGTGTAACCACTTTCATTTTTATTTATTTTTATTTTATTTCAACTTTATTTAACCAGGTAAGCCAGTTGAGAACAAGTTCTCATTTACAACTGCGACCTGACAAGATAAAGCAATGCAGTGAGATAAAAACAACAACACAGTTACATATGGAATAAACAAAAACGTACAGTCAATAACACAATAGAACATCTATATACAGTGTGTGCAAATGTAGTAAGTTATTGAGGTAAGGCAATAAATAGGCTATAGTGCAAAATAATTACAATTTAGTATTAACACTGGAGTGATAGATGTGCAGAAGATGATGTGCAAATAGAGATACTGGGGTGCAAATGAGCAAAATAAATAACAATGTAAATAACAATGTGGGGATGAGGTAGTTGGGTGGGCTAATTACAGATGGGCTGTGTACAGGTGCAGTGATCGGTAAGCTGCTCTGACAACTGATGCTTAAAGATAGTGAGGGAGAAAAGTGTCTCCAGGCTACAATAGCCTTACATTCAACCCTGCTTGTGCAAACAGTATCCCATTGTGATATATGACAAACAGTAAACGAATCAATCAATGTAATAACACACAAGCGAGCCATGGCCATGGTCCTTCATAAGATGTATAATATTACCTGTCTCCAAACTCTGGTGTAGCAGGTTCTCACAGAAAACATCGTCAGTGTCCTTCCACGACACTAGGACGCCGTTGGTGACAAGACAATGGCCATGATACAATGGCCATTCTTTTAGGCAATATTGGCGAGCAATGTTCTGGGGAATCTTGATTGGCAGCCCCACCTAGTGGGCATTTCTAGGAATCCTCCAATCAGAGAGCAGCTATTGCTCAAAATATTTTTGGAAAACATGGTGACCGTTTTTGAGGTGAAGCGAGAGAAAATCAACTCCAATATTGGAGTGAAATGTTGGACATTCACGTCTCATATGTTGCTTCACTACAATATTTGATCATGATACTTTAATACATACATACTGTGTTCAGTTTGTCATGTTTGTCATATGTCCAGAACTGTGCTGCACGTGTCCTCACCCACACCTCCCCCCACGAGCACACCACTCCAGTGCTGTTCAACCTCCACTGGCTCCCCATATGCTCATGCATCGACTACAAAATCCTGGTTCGCACCTACCAAGCTATCCACAACTCTGGACCCAAGTACCTGTCTGACCTTATTCTACCCTCCTGTCCCACACGCACCCTTCGCTCCTCCAGGTCCGTCTCCCTTCAGCAGCCCCGCAGCAGACTAAAAACTATGGGTGACAGGGCTTTCAGTTGCGCTGCTCCGCGGCTGTGGAACGCACTTCCAGATACTGTTAGGGCTGCAAAGTCTCTGTACTACTTTAAGGCACAGCTCAAGACCATGCTGTTCAGAAAAGCTTTCAAGGACCTCTGCTAATTCTGTTCACATGTCCTCCGGATCTGACGACACCTGTAGCTATATAGCTTTGATTGTTTTCTGTGTTCTATATTCTGTGTTTTGGATTGTTTTTATTATTATTATTATAATGTCCAAATATTTGCGCCTTGGCTGTGAGAAAAGCGCTTTATAAATTAAGCTAATTATTTTTAGTATGTTTAACTGCCAAAAATATCCATGGTAGTGAGCATGCTAATCAATTAGCATGCCAACCGAAAGTCAATGGGACAATCAGGTTAATTCGCTAGCTAGCTAGCCATGTAGATTTTATATTTAGTTTTTTGTTTTAGATCGTTTTTTTGTACACTTAACTAGCTGGCGAGCTGGATGAATACCATTTACACTTCCTAGCTTAGAATTGTGAAGTAAAAAGTTAGCAAAATGTAGTTATCCTTATGTCTGCATTGCCATTGACTTGACTGGCAGTAGGTTGAGTGAATGCCCAGGGCTTTGTTGCTTGTTTGTTAGCTGATAAATTCCAGTAGCCTACAGATGTGGCAGTCAACAGGCAACAACAAGCTATAGGAGTAAATAAATGGGGAAATCGAGTTTTAAGTTGATATATGCTTCATATGCTCATCTTCTGAAAACATCTGAAACCCTACCTCTTCAAAGAGTATCCCACAGCACCCCCCACCCTCGCACCACCTCCTCACCCCTTAATAGCTCTGACCTTGCTGATAGCTACTTTATTAATGAAAAATGTACTTACTATGACTGTGATATGTGGTTGTCCCACCTAGCTATCTTAAGATGATTGCACTATCTGTAAGTCGCTCTGGATAAGAGCGTCTGCTAAATGACTAAAACATAAAAATGTATTATTCATATCCATGCTGCTCATTGCTCCAGTGTCTCATACCCCACTCTGTTGCCAGCAAAATTGTATCATGGTCTTTAAAGTGCTGCTGAGCCTGAGCTGGCAGTGCTAATGTATTATTTTTTGTTTTTGCTCAATCTGATTGGGTGGGCCTGTGTCCACCAAGGCCTACACCCCTGTATCAAACTAAATTGCCCAGCAGCCCATAGCTCACACAGATGTTTACTAGCTGTCCTGTGGGAAGTGAGTTGGTGAGGGGGTGAGGGTCACCTGATACAGACCGCTCTGATGGAGTGGAGAATCCACAAGAGATGTGCTTTTACAAATCTTTAGGATCCCAGGATCCAACAATGATTCAACGGTGAGCTGACACATTAGAGAATTAGAGAGTTTTGTTCAGTGATGTAACGAGAGAATAAGTATCAAAAGAGAGGATGTTTGACTGTAGCTTTTCATGTAGGAGGAGAATAGAGCTAAACGCTATGAGATATTTCCTAATGTGACTAACCATTAGTATGTTGTATATTGGCATTGGCATGTCCATGTGCATCTAACAAGGAGGCACAGAGTTATTTCAGAGGGGTATACTACAAAGCAGTATCAATGAGTTAGCCAGCTAACTTCGATAAACAACCAGAAATAAGTGTTGATTGTCTGATTCAATAAGAAAGCTAAAGTTATATATTTTTTTTTTGTTTTTGAGATAATTAGACCATGCCAATTTCAAGCTTATCTTCCTAAACATTTTAAAGTTATTTCAGAATATTTAGGCAAGTTAGCTGGCTAACTCCTTGATCCTACCTTGTAGTATACCCCTCGGATTTCAGCAAGAACGAAACAATGCAAAAGTCTTTCAAAACAGATATGAATTTATTGTTTTGACATTTTAAATCCGAACATTTAAACATCAAAGCTCTTGACAGTTTCAGTAACGGACTAGATAGCAGACTCACAGGGATGCATAAGCATGTGTTCTTACACTCTACATCAAAGATAATATACAAACACTAAGTGTTCACATTTACCTAACAGAGTAGAAAACTGCAGAAGCATCATTTGGCACACAAATGAATGTATTATAAACTGAGTATATTCCCTGCGTATTATCATTACGATATTTTACAACTAAAATGCAACCGTCGGTTTCAAGGTGGAGGGTGGACAACATGTATAATGTCACATCATGATCATAATATCATCGTTATTGAAACAACACCAGCCAAGTGAAATCAACATTTCTTGCAGATTCACACTTCTAGTGCAGTCTTACAAATTATTCACACTTCTTAACACTGCTAAGCTCATTGGACTATTCTATAACAATGGTCATACAGTAATGTGCCTGCTGCAGTACCAGGGGTTACATGTAAGTAATATGAAGGGTATTACATAAGGGCAGTGTAACTACTTCATAAACACAACATTATAATAAGATTATAAGCACTACTTAAGACATTTGGCGACTACCAGTCATGTACAGGCTAGACTGTCTCACTTTGTGTTGGAAGCTAATAAACATAGGAGTATGAGCTCCATGACACACTTGGCGTCACAGGGGGGTTATAAAACATGACTGATTTTTTTTTTTTTTTTACAAATGTCTAGTAGTGCTTATGAAGGCAAGTGTCACACACACAGCATTGGCCAACAAAATAGTCTGTATACTTTAAGCCATAACTACTCTCAGCTTATACATACAGTGAGGGAAAAAAGTATTTGATCCCCTGCTGATTTTGTACGTTTGCCCACTGACAAAGAAATGATCAGTCTATAATTGTAATGGTAGGTTTATTTGAACAGTGAGAGACAGAATAACAACAAAAAAATCCAGAAAAACGCATGTCAAAAATGTTATAAATTGATTTGCATTTTAATGAGGGAAATAAGTATTTGACCCCTCTGCAAAACATTACTTAGTACTTGGTGGCAAATCCCTTGTTGGCAATCACAGAGGTCAGACATTTCTTGTAGTTGGCCACCAGGTTTGCACACATCTCAGGAGGGATTTTGTTCCACTCCTCTTTGCAGATCTTCTCCAAGTCATTAAGGTTTCGAGGCTGACGTTTGGCAACTCGAACCTTCAGCTCCCTCCACTGATTTTCTATGGGATTAAGGTCTGGAGACTGGCTAGGCCACTCCAGGACCTTAATGTGCTTCTTCTTGAGCCACTCCTTTGTTGCCTTGGCCGTGTGTTTTGGGTCATTGTCATGCTGGAATACCCATCCACGACCCATTTTCAATGCCCTGGCTGAGGGAAGGAGGTTCTCACCCAAGATTTGACGGTACATGGCCCCGTCCATCGTCCCTTTGATGCGGTGAAGTTGTCCTGTCCCCTTAGCAGAAAAACACCCCCAAAGCATAATGTTTCCACCTCCATGTTTGACGGTGGGGATGGTGTTCTTGGGGTCATAGGCAGCATTCCTCCTCCTCCAAACACGGCGAGTTGAGTTGATGCCAAAGACCTCGATTTGGGTCTCATCTGACCACAACACTTTCACCCAGTTCTCCTCTGAATCATTCAGATGTTCATTGGTAAAATTCAGACGGGCCTGTATATGTGCTTTCTTGAGCAGGGGCACCTTGCGGGCGCTGCAGGATTTCAGTCCTTCACGGCGTAGTGTGTTACCAATTGTTTTCTTGGTGACTATGGTCCCAGCTGCCTTGAGATCATTGACAAGATCCTCCCGTGTAGTTCTGGGCTGATTCCTCACCGTTCTCATGATCATTGCAACTCCACCAGGTGAGATCTAGCATGGAGCCCCAGGCCGAGGGAGATTGACAGTTCTTTTGTGTTTCTTCCATTTGCGAATAATCGCACCAACTGTTGTCACCTTCTCACCAAGCTGCTTGGTGATGGTCTTGTAGCCCATTCCAGCCTTGTGTAGGTCTACAATCTTGTCCCTGACATCCTTGGAGAGCTCTTTGGTCTTGGCCATAGTGGAGAGTTTGGAATCTGATTGATTGATTGCTTCTGTGGACAGGTGTCTTTTATACAGTTAACAAACTGAGATTAGAAGTACTCCCTTTAAGAGTGTGCTCCTAATCTCAGCTCGTTACCTGTATAAAAGACACCTGAGAGCCAGAAATCTTTCTGATTGAGAGGGGGTCAAATACTTATTTCCCTCATTAAAATGCAAATCAATTTATAACATTTTTGACATGCGTTTTTCTGGATTTTTTTGTTGTTATTCTGTCTCTCACTGTTCAAATAAACCTACCATTACAATTATAGGTTAGGTGTGCTTACAAGACACTACTTTCTGCATCTACTAGATTTCTAGACAACAACATAACTATGTCGCTGTCTGACCTAAGCCTCTACTTACACAATGTATCCAATCAACACTGGTGGTCATATTTAAAATAGGAGGAAACAAAAAGGAATATGCGTCTTTGTGTAAAAGTATCTGGGTCATTCCACCAAATGGGTACCTTTTGGGTATTTTAACATCACAATTAAAACATTCTATTTAACCTAATTTTAACATTTTGTCATAAAGAGCACATGTTCAACTTAATAAAAAACACTTTTTCCCATCTCAAGAGGATAAAAAAAATAAAAAATACTATAGTAAGTGCCTTTTAAGTGCCAAATATAGTAACAGGGTTGACGATTTCATCTTAAATCAGCCATAAATCCCCTTGTGACAGGGGGAATGGAAGCCTGTTGTGTTAAACAGGTAGGGGCAATTGAATGCAAGCTTCCCAAAATTGTTTTTATTGTTAAAACATTTCAAGCCTGTCTATCTATGGGTAACAGGGTTGACGTGTTATGCTCGACCCACTCCGTTTTTCACCACAAAACACCAGAAAATTGCCAAAGAGAGTAGAATCAGCTCACCTGCTTTTACACTATGATTTGACTATTAGATGTTCAATGTTTCTTTTGAAAAAATGATTTAAAAAGGAATAGTTTCACCATTTTAAAATGAGAGTTCAGTTCACGTTACAGGGTTGACCTTAAACGTAACAGGGTTGACATACATTTCATGTGATTAGATCAGGGATGGGCAACTTTGAATACATCATGAGGGGCCGCAGTGGCTTGCGGGTCTGTGTACCCACATCCCAGAGGGGGTAAATTGATCTGCGGGCCTACAAAAGAGGGGCCGCGGGCCGCCATTTGCCCATCCCCGGATTAGATTAATCACTAATCACA